CCCCCCTTTCCAGAAGATGTACAATTCGATCCTACACAGGGATCGAACCCCCGACCCGAGGGTTACACCAAAGGCCACACACACACACACACACACAAGGAGTTTCTTTTCCTTATAAATCATAAATGGAAGTTCTACTTTATATAAGTTTCTTGATTCATCAATGATGGTTCTTGTTTTTCTCATTCTGGCTTGTTAGACTAGCTAGGTTTGTTGCCATAGTAATAGAAGGATGTCTTTTTTTCTTTCCTGATTGCCACGTTGCACTTCTTCACTAATTTTTCTCATTCATACAGGAAATATTACATGTTTTTGCCATGACCTCCAAAATTAAAATTATATTATTTGGATCGATCTATTTTGTAGAATTTAATGCTAGTTCTTATCACTCATTGCCATTGTTTCTTTTTTTTATACGATACAAAGAGCTTTTTTGGACAAAAAAGGATACTAGATGTTGGTGAATAGAGGTGCGAATTAGTTGAGCTCTAGTGAGCTAGGGGTTAGTTCATGTTAGACTCACTTGAAATTTTGGGTGTTCGTGTTAGCTTGTGTTTGTAATTGTTCGTGAACAATGTTTTTGTTCAAAGTGTAGAATCCCCTAGGGCTAGGGTTGAGCGCTTACTCAACTTGAAGAGAAAAAAAAATTCATTCATGTTTGGCTTGTTAGAACTCAATTTGAACAGAAGCCAATCAAAAATTTTATTGAGCTTAAAAATGATATTATAAATTAACCGTTTTCTTGAAGGGTCTTAAGTATCTCTTTGAAAAATTTGCAAAAACCTTCATACTCCCAACAAATACTACACATGGGCACATTTTTAATAGGTAAACTTTTGCACAACAATATAAATACTACAAGTTGAGGGGGTATTTGGTATCGCCCTACTAACAGGATTTATCGTTAGGATTTATTAAATCTAACCAAACTTAAAGAAGTGCACGTTCCATGGTTTTTGAAATTTTAGATTTAAGGTCCAAATTTTAGCTTCGATTCATGTTTTATCCAGATTTAATAAATCCAAGAAGGGGGTGGATTTAATAAACGCGGATTCACTAAATCCTCCTAAAACTTAATCCTTCCCGCAGCTAAACACCCCCTAAATGTTCAAATAGTGTGTTAATAACGAAAATAAAGCTACATTGTTGTGTATTTAATTCTTCTCATTTTTTTTTTCTAGTTTTGTTGAAATGAAGGAAAAACTAGTTTAAAGTTATTGAATTTTTTTCTCATCTGTATAATTCATGTTTAGCTCGCTTGTTTAATGAATGGATCAAATAAGAGTGTTTATATAATGAGCATAATATGATTTGTTTGCAAATGATGTGTTTTTTTATAGCCCTATTGGTGAATAACATTTTGTGCTTCAAAGCTAGACTATGCAAAGCATTGGAATTAAATTATTTTTTTAGTGATTTTTTTGTTGCATTCTCTATTTATTTTCCAGATTGTTTTTTCCATTTTCATTTGTTGATTGTTTGTTAATTTGTTTTGATGTTCTAGAATATTTCATGTTTTACTATTTACTAATTTAGAGTCTATACGGATTACTATAACATTTGCATATCTTTTGCCCAAAGTTTGAATTCCGTTTGGTATTTTCACCTTCTAAAATACAATTAACTGCATGAGCTCTTAAAACTCTCGCCAGATACTTTGTGCTTATTGTTACATAATTTTTTTCTTCATTGGTATCCCCATGTTTTAGATAATGTTTCTTTATTTTCCGTTATGAGATGTTGGTTTTTAATAGGCACATATTCAGGTATACTACAATGTAACCCAAAAAAGTGACTTTAAGGGGTTGTTCAACTGCAAATAGGTTTTAACTTAACTAGGATTTAATAAATCCTATAAATCCAGACTTAGTATATCCTGAGGTGTAAATTGTTTGGCTAAATCTGGTTAACAGTTTGAAAATTTATTTTAGGATTTAAGTTTTTTAGTTGAAATATGAATTTAACATTTTATCTTAATGATGTAATTGTTAATCTAATTAAATTTGATTTAAAGTTTTATTTCTAATTATGTTAATAAATAATGAACTATTTATTTATTATCCTAATTATTTAGCAAATAATAATCTTATTCATTAATTAATAATTCATTATTTATTTGTTATAGTAATTATTAATTAATTAATTAAATTCAATATCTAATTTAATTTTGGTTAATTAATAATAAAATAATTACACATGAGCTTATATAACTATAAGTAGTTTAATATATAATTGGAACCAAATATAAAAAAATTATAATTAACTTGACAATAATTTATTGATTACTAATTATTAATTAATTAAACTTAATTTAAATAAAGTTATATTAAATAACGAAACCTAACTTCTCCTACCTGTTCTCCTGCCTGCAATCCTCACCTTCCTTTCTTTCCCTCTTTTGGTTTTGCCCGAAACCATTGCCTATCTTCCACTTCATCCTCCTATTGCGGCCGAAACACTCGTAGTACTAGAGCTAGCTTGGAAGAAGGCAACGACGGGATCACGACATACAAAGATCTATGAAACTCACGTACAACTCCTTTTTCTACTCCGTTCCTACCTGACTGACCCTCGTCTTTCTCTTCCTTCCTTCTACCCCCCTTCGCGTGCTTCAGCTCTGCTAAATTCTGTAAATCCTTCTTCCAATGGGATTTGCTTAATCCAGGATTTAAGGCAAAACGGAGGAGAAATGAGATTTAAGATGCTATAGGATTGAAAGTTGTGATTTTTGCTTTTTGGCCAGATTTAGATTAAATCCTGCTATTAAACAGCCCCTAAACTGGATTTAAAGATGATGCATAAATGCAATAGTTTTGTTTCAAATGAAGTACCTCTTTAGATTTAAAGAGTTATGGAGAGATTGTGCTAATTTTGTAGACAGTTTTTGCCATGAAATTCTAAGGAATAACTGGATGCCAATTAGTTAGAGAAGCTGCCCTTCGATACCAACACATTTGAATGTACACTTGTTCATGAATCATTAAATTACTTTAGGAGTAAGTATAATATAGCAAATCAAGTACCTATTTAGATTTAAAGAGTTATGGAGAGATTGTGCTAATTTTGTAAACAGTTTTTGTTTTTAAATTTAAGGAATAACTGGATGCCAATTAGTTAGAGAAGCATCCCTTTGATACTAACACATTTGAATGTAAAATTGTTCATGAATCATGAAATTACTTTAGGAGTAAGTATAATATAGCATCTTCAAAAATTATGTTTGTATCATGAAATTACGTTGGTTTTGCTTCAGGATGGTTTATATGGAGCCTATTTTTTGTATTTACAAAAACATATTAAATACACACAATAATGAAAGGAAATGATGCTTATTGATATTTTAATGCAATTTGATCAAGTGTCATGAGAGGTTTGGTGGCATTGAGGAGAAAATATTCGTACTGTATAATGGTATAATATTTGCTATGTGGATACATACTAAAGATATTTTTGAGTTGAGGTCATTTGTTTTATGTTGACATAGTTCGATAAGCCAGGTCTTTTTTGAAGTAGGTGAAACTTATGGAATATATATATATATATTGGTACCTAAAATTATGAATATGATATGCAATCGTAGTGATTGTCAAATGGATATATTGAATCCATATTGTTTTTTAATTTCGTTTAATATTTTCACTATTGTAGTTTAGTAAGGGATGACATTAATAGGTCAAAGTTTTTTTAGATTTGTACTTTATGATACTATTTGATATTTTTAGATTTTTTTGTCATAGGTTCCGAATTCATTGAAGCGCACAATTCTCTTGTAGGCCAAGCTAGACATTTCCATATTGCTTGAAGAATTTTTTTTTTTTCATAGTAAAAAAAAAAGCCACATCAAAGGTTACATATCTTGCATTAAAAGGGGTTTCCTTGAACAGAATTATCAATACAGTTAGTTGTTTTGAGACTATGATTAGAATAACTTAATTATAAAGTGCCTATCATATTTTTGACACGTCTGGTCATGTTCTTTTATTTAACATATTGTTGAAGGTTTCTAACTTGGATTTTCCTTTCACCGTTACGCACACACCCCATGCCAACCCCAACCTACCTAGAACTCTATCAATTTTTTTTTCTGGTCTATGATTACCAAATCTAGTTGCTGTTGTGAAACTTTTAGCTTGAGTTGCAATTGTTAAGTTGTTATTAAGATGTTACAAAGATCACTGTAGATTGCTTTGTATGATAACCTTTTTATTTTTTTGATTTTTTCTTTAATCATTGAAGTCAGATGCCTTTCATATCATGTAGGAAGACATGTTTGGGTGATTAGATTGACATAATCCTAATAGGACATTTTGGTAGTTTTCTATTGGTTTGGATGACAAATTTATGCTGACTTTTCAAAATGTCATAATTTTTTTATTTATGAAATTACATATTTACGAATTTGTCATTGAAATTTTGAATTATACATTGTATTTTCTATCTAAATCAGGCAAATCTACTTTGGAGCATAGCCATGGAATATATTTTGCATAATAATGCAGTACACTGAAGTTCTTAAGTTGTTTGTTGTATCAATGCTTAATGTTACATAGATTACTTAACAGTTGCTGATAGCAGTAAGGTTATGTTACTGATCTCATCTTTCTGTTAAATGGTTAACCTGAATCGTCATTGTTAAAATCATCATCAATAGCCTTATTCCAACTATTTGAGATTTGGCTTTATAGATCTTTCCTTTTGATTCTCATTGAGTGGTGCTTGAGGTGTTAAATATATATTTTGCATTAATCTAATTGTGAGCTTTTTCTTAGTTTGACCTTTATTAATTTCTCCAAATTAGTATTGTCTATGCTTCTTTTGGGTTCGTTTTCAACCCATCATTGTGCATGCTCAAACCATTCAAATATATTTTTTACTAGCTTATTTTCTATAGGTATTACATTTTTTCTTAAGATAACCGTTTCTCAGCTTTTTCTGGTTTTGATCTTCAATCAAACTCTCTTTTTGATAATAATTTGTGGATTTCCTATGCTTGAAACTTGAGATGTGGGGTTCTAATGAGGAATGATATTTTCAAAATGCCTCTGTGTTTTGTTGTTTTTTTTTTTTTAAGATGGATCGCAAAGTGTGGTTGTGATCCATCTGTGTGCTGTCCAAGACAAGCCTCAAACCCGGGACCCCAGAGGTCTTACATATTCTGCCTACCAAATAGCCAACCAGTTCGCATAGCCTCTGTTTTTTGTTGTTTAGGTTACTGTCACTCAAAAATAAATTATTGGTTTGACATGTGAATGGCTTGAAATCCTTTGTCATTTCATAGATAATATTTTTTTTGTACAAGGAAAGCGTTCGACTAGATGGATAAAAAACTTTCATGTCTGTGGATGAATATTCGATTATTTGAGTAACTGATGTGCTTGTGTTTGTTCTATCGAGTCTATTAAATTCATCAGTGCTCATTCTGGGTGCATTTTTTGTAGCTTTGAGAAATCTCCTAGACATGATGCGTACGTTCCTAGATTTGAAGCCGAGCTCGCCCAATATTGTGAGAAACTGGTGAGCTTTATGTCACTACATTTGATGATTTTCTTTTTTCGAGTGATAATAGCTATGAAGTGTGTTTATTACAGGTGATGGACTTAGATAGAAAAGTGAAGCGTGGACAGGAACGGCTGGCACAGGAGGTTGATTTGCCAACTGGTCCTGTCTCAGCCGAGAAATCAGAACAGTTATCAGTGCTTGAAGAAAAAATTAAAAAGTTACTGGAACAGATAGAGACTCTTGGAGAAGCTGGCAAGGTTGATGAGGCAGAAGCACTCATGAGGAAGGTGCGTAGACTTACTTTATCAAATTTTCTTTTCTTCTGTTTTTTTTTTCCTTTTTTTTTTTGGTTCTTGTATGTGTTCTTTCAAGTAAACCCAATTTTAGCACCCGGCAATTTAACAGGTGGATCTGTTGAATGCTGAGAAGACAGCTCTTACACAGAATGACAAGTTGGCTCTTACTCAAGAGAAGAAGATGGCTCTCTGTGAAACATGTGGTTCTTTCCTGGTTGCAAATGATGCTGCTGAGCGGGTCCAGTCTCACGTAACTGGCAAGCAGCACATCGGGTATGGAATGGTGCGGGATTTTATCAATGAGTTCAAGGTCTGTAGGTTGTTTTATTCGTGCATTATTGAGCTTAAAGTAAACCCTGTTTCTGTTATTTAAAAGCCTGCTATATATTGAATTTCAGGCTGTAAAGGAAAAGAAAAGAGAAGAAGAAAGGCTTGCTAGAGATAAGGAAGCTGAAGAAAGGAGAAAACAAAGGGAGAGGGAAAGTGAGCATAGAGGTAGAGGAAATGAAATGAGTGGCAGAGAACGCGATAGATATCGTGAACGAAGTCATGAACAGGAGAGATCCCATGGATTTATTGGAAGGAGTAGCTTGGATGGTGGAAAAGGATCAGATTGGAATCGTAATCAATACAGGAATGGGAGAGACTGGGACAGGGAAAGGTTTCGCAGGAATGGAGAAGTGCCACGAGATAGGGCGCGTGGAAGGAGTAGGTCTCGTTCTCCAGTTAGGCATGGCTATCGGAGATAATTATGCAGTCCAGTTTATCTAATACTAATATATATTGTACGAAATCTGTCAAGCTCAGAGTGAAGAGGTAGACCATCTTGTCTCTTTTTTTTTTTTGGGTTGTTCTTACATGTGTTTGAATTTAAATGCCCCTATTGGTGAAACTCTTTTCCCATGCTAACAGCTTTGCTGAAAACCTATTTTTCTTTAGAGGAGATGAACTGAGGTAGGCACCATACATCTTTATATTCTTAGTTCTTCATATATCATTTGGATATGGAACTATTCTGCTGAAAGCTCCTGTGTGTGTTTAAGCCTTATTCTCAGAACCTCCATTCATTAGGTTTGTTTCTTCTGGTCTTAATTAAGATCTCATACGCATTCATTTGCTGGATGATGGACGACTAACAAAGCTTAATCTACTGGAAGGTAACATGGTTTTCTTACTTGCAATAGGAGTTTATAAGATGAATTTCCATGACGGGGTAATACCCAGAGCTATATTTTCACCGGCAAGCACTCTGAATTTTTTTTTTTTGGTGCTAGAAATCCCTCTTATTTTAGGCACTAGAGCAATCCATACATTCACCGAAAAACTGTTGCAGGTAGGAATGCTACTTTCTTCATAGCTGTCCAAATTGTCTTCTTTATTTTATTTTGTATATGAGCATTGTTTCTTTAGTTCTGCAGTTCGCTTCCTTTGTTGGCAGTGAGAATGTTAGCACTGATTTCAATCCTCAAGTTTGGGGCATTTACATACACCGGCCTATTTTTATACATTTACATATCTAGCATCTAAACTTTGCTTTTTTACATTTATACCACCCCCATATCACATCTAAAATACAACTATTTTATATTTTAAAATGTGAAATAAATTTTTTCATGCATAGGTAAGTTGGCCTATATGTAAAATTTGAAGTTTAGGTGTTAAATATGTAAATTTTCCTTTATTTTAATTGATGGTTCCATCTTATAGACAAATTCCCTAGTGGCACCATTGGTTAATATTTGCTTCTCTTCAATTGTCCAATGAATCATGTTTTGTTGCCATACCTCTATTTAAAAAGAATTTATAGATTGTATGTTTGACGATTTTGATCCTTTTGCTTTCATTTTTTTTAGTGTTCAACTTAATCTTCTTGGCAAGAGCGTGTTTCTTTCATATAAGAAAGCTTATACACTATATTAATTATCTCGATAACTTTCATACGTATCGTTGTCACATAGGCAAATCTTCAGATAATTTTTTTCCAGGTAAACCTTCTTTCTTCAAGGCTGAACAAATTCCAGAGCAGTAGCACGCATCATGTAATTGTTGATTCGATATGTTTCATTCCATGAAATCAAAAAATGCATGCAATTGGATAATTTAAGTTCCCTACCCGTTTCTCCTTGTGGCTCTCAAGGAGCATCCATGCTAGTTTTGATGAATGTGCATGTTCGTATGAAATGTGTGCATGAAGGGACTAACATTCTGAAAATCTTGAAAATGTAATATTCTGAAAATTTTAATGTGCCCAGTTTGGAAGCATGCATTATAGTTCAATTATTTTTAGTTATATATGCACGAGTGATTGATGAATTTTTATATATGTCATACAAAATCATTAAGAATCAACATTATTGATATAACAACAGCAACAACAACAAGCTTTTAGCCCATTAAGTGAGTTCGGCGAACCAACATTGTTGATAAATATTATGAAATTTAATTTTTCAGCCAAACAGAATAACATAGAGTAAAGCATAACTAGAAGTCCAAATTCATGTTATCCATTGGGAAATAACAAAACAAATGTTTATTAATTATTGATCAAGCACATCCACCCACTAAAAAAAAGCATTTTTGCCTGTTAAGGTATTCATCTAGCTAATTGAAGGGAATGGTCATTGAACCAGCCAGATGGCAACTTATTTCATTCAATTTGGAATGGACTCATTCTCAAAACTAAATGGATAAGTTTTTTGTATGCTAAACAAAATGCTTGAATCTTGTATAGTCATATGGCTGAGATGCTAATTACATAGGAGCAAGGTTTGCAGCAAGAGGTTTAATTCATGGTACCAGGCTTTCTCCACTGCAGGCATAAGGGTGCTTACCTTGGTTTGTGAGTGTACCCCCCTGGTCTAAAAAATCTGTTTTTATTCATTCTATCTCTTTTGCCTCTTTTTATCGGCCTTGATTTTTTTGGCAGCCATATAAGATTCTAGTTAAGTAATATACTTGCTCTGACCGTTGGTGAATTATATTTTTTTTTCATGATTCCGATGACATTATTTCCATGTATTTTTGCCAATTTCAGAATTTTTGGCTTTGACATTCTAAGCTTTTATTTGCTGGAGTTCTTGAGAAAATTGGAGCATTGCCCTATAAAAGAAGAAAATGAGGATTATTTATTTAATTCTTCTTGTGTGAGAACTGATAAGCATGGCATGCGTATGCATTAATCTTTTTGTCTGGGTGATATTGTGTATCAAACAAGCGTAGTATATTGCACCGAGCAAATAATTGGTGGGGCGCCACTTGTCAAGTGGGCTTACCGCAATACGTTGAGATTGGTCATTATTAAAATGTGGGGCCCACTTGACACGTGGCGACTCACCATTGGACTCCAAATGCATGCTTAATATTTTATGTTATTCCAAAATTCTTGAAATTCTAGAAATTTTTTTCCTTTTCTTCTATTGTGGTTTTTTTTTTTTTTTTTTTTTTTTTTGGTTATTTGAAAAGTGCTGCAGTGCACTGTTAAAGTTTTCTTCACGAGGAACGAAGCTTTTACTTCTCATGCCAAGCCCTGCACTTTCCTCGAGAAATTTTTATTTTCCTTATAAAAGTTTGTCTAGCATTCATGAAGTTTAATGAAACTCCACATCTATACAAGTTTTGAGGCATTAGGTTGACCAGGTTAATTAAATGCATGGAATGTTAATTGATGGATAAGTAAATTAAGGAAGTACGAAGTCTTGTAATTAGACCTGTGTGGATACATATTCTGATCGATTCTTCATTGCATCCTTTGGAGTTAGAGGTGTAAATGAGCTCGAGCTTGAGCGACTTTTGGGCTTGTTCGTGTTTGGCTCGTCAACATATATTTTTTTTTTGTTAGTGCTTAACTCATTTATAATTCGAGTTTTAAAAAATGTGTTTGGTTAATTTACTTGGAACACTTTGGACATGAGCTGCTTACCAACTACTTTTCTTACACCCCAACAGTAAGATTGGATATAGCATGATTTAGTATATCTGCCAATTCTTATCTATTTAAGTATCTAACATATAAAGTTTTTTTTTTTTTTTGGCATTTATACAACTCAAATCCCTTACTTGCATTTTCTTTAAATATGCTATAAATGATTAATATAAAAATGATATAAATTATTATTTTTATTTAATTATTTAATTATTTAATTATTGAGTTAAATCGAGTTGAACATGAATGAATAAATTTTTGTTTGTATTTGCTTCATTTATAAATCTAGCTCAAAAAAATTATGTTTATATATATGATATATGATATATGGGTGTGTTTTTAAATTTTATTTTGTTTGTATTTTAATTTGAAACATTAGGATATAATTTTTTTTTTTAAAACATTCGAAATATTTAAATGTTGTTTTGAATGTTTTCAAATTATATTACTTTATTTTTAAAAATAAAAATAAAAGTATATAAGAAAACAAATAAATGTGTTTTTAAAATTAATTGGAAAAAAAATTAAAATTAAATTGAAAAATAAAATTGATCATTAAGAACCCTCAAGTTATGAGGACTCGGCGTTAGCATTAAATATCATCATTGAATGCAGGCAAGACCTTGCCATGAGTTGATGTGTTCATTACCTTCCATCGCTTAAACATGAACACGAGAATAAAACCGAAGTGAAGAGCAATTGAATATTCACAATTATTCAAACTAATACTAAAGGAATTTAGTAGGAAGAATTAGAGTGTGCGAAAGCTATACATCATATAAGATTATTTAGGTGTATGCTTATATAAACAAACAGCTTGAGTATATGTGATGTAAGATATAAGCTCAATCAAAATAGATTTACATGATAACAAACAAGATATATCAAGAAAGGTACTTTACATCAAAGTTGCAAGTACAAGTGGGAAGTATAAGTATAGTGATGTATAAATGTCTATGCTAGAGAAAAAAAAATTTTAAAAATGTGAACTCTTATATGGATTCAATGTTTTGAGATTAAATACATGAACATTTGTATTAATCACGACATTAACAATTAATATTAAAATAAGAGCAGTGCAAGTAATATGAAGCTATGAAGAATAATGGCCTGTTTGGGACAGCTTATAAATGCAGAGTCATTTTTTGAAAACGCTGCGGTACCGTTTGGATATCACATTTTGCCCGCTTATTCGAAAATGCAATTTCATTTTTACACTAAACGCAAGCCGCAAATCGAATACGCGGTCGATCCCGGGTCGTATTTTAGAATAAGTTGTTTATCTTTCAGTTTAGCAAATATATGATAAGTGTTATTTTAGCCTCCATATAATGTGTAATTGAGATATTGAATTTATGTAACATTAGCTTCAGCCAAATAAAAATCATTTAAGAAAACCTTTAAAAATAATGCAATGACAAGTTGGCATGCATAAAATGATTTCATAACTTGGTGAAAAAAATGTAAGAAAACCTTTAAAAATAATGCAATGACAAGTTGACTTTCAAAAAATGAATTCATAACTTGGTGAGTAGAAAAAAAAAAATCATAGAAGTACTTCTTTTGAAATTTGGCTTTAGAAAACAAAGTAAACACTTTTTTTAAAATGACTGAAGGAATAAATGAACTTGATTTGAGACAATTTTAAAAAGTTCAAATGATGATAAAAAATATGTTGCAATTTTGAAGAGCAAACTTAGCTAATATTTTTTAACTAGAAAACTCTTAGAAGATTCACAATTAAAAATATTTATTTTATTCCAAAAGGGAATGAATTTATAGGTTGGAAAGCTTCATTTATTAGAAGAGAATGATATTACAATTGAGCACTCAGCTCCTGAACTCCCAAAATAAATTTTAAAAATGCATATTGAATTTTTTATATATATGTGACAATTATATAAACTCTTTGAATATATATATATATATAGATAATTA